CGCCGCACCCAAAGACCTCAACAGCTACAGCGCATGTGGCGCTGACATCGCACCTGATTGAAGACCACGGAAGACTGGTCTCGCCCATCCGCTTGGTGGGACAATCGATGGATCTGCTGCAGTTCGCCTATCAGCCTGGCATCGCGGGGTGGATGACGCTGTCATCTTCCTCTCACAGAGCTCTCTCATCCTGGAAAAGTCTGGAAGCACTTGTGAGCGGATCACTTTCTTCGACCTCTCCAGTGCTTTCAACACCATCCAGCCTCTGCTTTCTGGAGGGACAAGCTGGAGCTCTCCAGGTGTGGATTATCACCTCAATCCTGGCATTAATGGACTCACCTCACCCAACCGCCCACAGTATGTGAGGACCAAGGACTGTGTCTCGGACATGGTGGGTCTGCAGCACAGGGGGGCTTCCACAGGAACAGTTTTTGGCTCCTCTTTCCCTGTTCACCCTGTACACTGAGACTTCAGGCAGTTCTCCGCACTGCACCTGCAGGAAGTTCTCTGATGAACTCTGCCATCGGTCGGCCTCATCACTCGATGACGAACAGGGAAACAGAAACTATTAAAGACTTTTTTGGACTGGTGTCAGTGGAACCGCCTCCAGATCAACACGGGAAAACCAAGGAGATGGTGGTGGATTTCCGCAGGCACAGTCACGCCCCCCGACACCGGTGAAACACACTGGGTATGAACATAGGAGAGTGGATCTTACAAGTAACCCTGGGTGTTGTCACCTGAACACATAAAACTTGGACTGGACTCATAACATTCATGACTATAAGAAATTGCCGAGCAGACTATCTGTCTGGAAACTTCAGGTCTTTTGAGTGCAGAGAGCTCCTGAGGACCTTCTTTGACACTGTTGTGGCATCAGCCATTTTCTTGGAGTGTCTGCTGGAGCAGCAGCATCTCAAGCAGCAGAGGGAAGAGACTCGACAAACTGAAGGGCCAGCTCACCTGTCTGGGTTGCCCCCTCGACTCAGTGCAGGTGGTGGGAGAGAGGAGGATGCATAGCAAAGCTATCATCCACTGGATGGACAATGTCTCCCACCCCATGCAGGGACACATCACTCACTGAGCATTCCTTCACCCCAAATGTGGTGAAACGAGATTTCGCAGGCTCCTTCCTGCTGCTGTCAGACCCATATAACAACCAGCACTGCTGCCCAGTAACCCCCCCTCCATACCAATGTGCAATATTTCACTGTAACTCCTGTGCTCATTAATATACATATTGTATGTCTTTTTCTGTGTACTGTTGCAGATTCTTACTTTTTCCTCTCTGGTACATTAGTGTTTATTACTTACTGTTGATACTGTTTATTTTTCTCTATCCACTTGCTGCTGCAACACCGGAATTTCCCCATTGTGGGACAAAATAAAGGAATCTTATAATAGGGCCTACATAATTCCAGCAACACTGTATAAAATTTTACTGCTAACCAGTGTCAGCACATTTTTGAACTTGAAGTTTGGTGTGCATTTGCCATTCATGGGATACTTTGGTTCTTATGGATATTTGAAATGTCTAATACAAATATGCATTTCTTTTTAATCATGCATTAAATGTATTGTAATTAATTCAATGTGTTAAATGCAATTGTCTAAAATTCTAATGAATAACATTTACTCTAAGTTTCTGTTACTTTGTATCCACATTCAAGCCACAAACCAGACAGACTCTCAAAAGAGATTAATTCATATTCAGACAGTCAGATCATGTTTACAGTTAATATTAGCAACCACATTCACTGATGTTTAGAACTTTCTCTTCCCCCCCCCCCCACCCTCCAAAAAGAGATACTGGTCTGGGTTCAAATTTTGGTCATGCTTGAATTTCCCAATATTTTTTCACATCATTCATGTATTAACTCCCCCCCCCCCCCCCAAAAAAAAAAAAAATCTCCATAGTAACCTTATAATTGACATGGAACGTGAGAAAGTAAAAAGCAAAAAAAACCAACAGCAGCGATGGACATCCACAGAGTTGTAAACAAACAGGACATTTTGTGGGACACAGTGTAACCTTTTTCCCATATAGGAGCAGGTAAAGGTTTAAACCAGGGGCTGCCCAAAAAGAAAGAAAAGAAACCTTTCATCAGATCGATTGTTTGTAATGACTGATAATAATCAAAAGAATGATATGAATACAAGTAGTATCATACAGTGTCACAATGTATACCAATAGGTCTGAAAAATAACTAACCTAAGCTACTAAAATATTACCATAAGAAATGTACAATCAACCATAAACCATAACATATCTAAATCCGTTACCAGTGCTTAGTAGAATTTTAGAATAAACCAAACATATTATGCAATTTAGCATGCAAAATAAAAAAGTTAGTGAACGAGAAAAGGGTTTGTTTGTTAAAAAAAAAAAAAAAAAAAAAAAAAAAAAAAGAAAAAGGATAGCATTTTGAAAATTCAAACTTGGAGATATTTGAATTGTTCAAAAGGGACCAATAAAGGCATCCAGTAATAAAAAAATTTTAATTTTCTGACTATTTGATGGTTCAAAGCAAGTTGTATATTTAAAGGGGAAATGAATAACGAATTCAATAATAATCGTACTCAGTGAAAACTTTGTGATCTGAAAATTTTTTTATTTACCTCGTAATCCTTGATGAGTTCCCTGTAGACGGCCCGGAATTCCATCAGGGCCGGATAATGCCTCCCCGTCTCGCTTCAACGTGGTCGCTGTTTATAACAGACAGAAGAATACTTGTGTAGAGTACTATATGAATTCACTTTAATTACTAATCTCATTTACCATGTTGTCAATAGAAGCCATCATTCAAAATTCATACAAAACTGAATCCGATGGCTTGGTCCCTCTAGGGAACTTACTCTTAACTGCTGGTAGGTTAATCACTTCAAAGAAACTGTGCATTTGAAACTTTACTCAGCCTTTCCCAAACTATGGTCAGGACCCAAAAGTGTGTTGCTGACCGATTTTGCTTGGGTTTACCAGTTAGCAGAGTGGAAATGTTCAATTTTGTGAATATTATTTCCAATTATAAATAGAGAGTTGATTTTTCCACCGTCTGTTCAGCTCAGAGTGGATCTCTCTACCGCTCTATTTTTTCGAATTACAGACCGCAAGCGGGCCAGTAA